ATCACAAGTACAAATCAGAGTCCAGTGAACAAGCACAGTATTCACAAATCAGAAGAAATAGTCCAGAATCGTAGCCAAGTCGAGGAAAAGAGCAAAACGATATCACATCTACTATGTACGAAGCACAAAAGCAGACTGACAACCAAAACAACATCCCGTGTTGGATTTCCAGCCCTAACCGGTTATTATAATATGTTTTCTTTCATTCGCACCCACATTAAATCGTCATGTCTCGCTCGCACGGTGCGTCTAAACTTGAAGGAGAATAGGCGTGGGAACTGCTACTGGAGCCTCCCAACTACTTTTTTTCTACGAAATGTAATACAAATCCTAGATTGTTATACCTCGTTAGATAGCTGATAAAACATAGATATTTTAAAACACATCTGCCGAACAATTGCCATAATATTTTTTTTAGATATCCCTTCGAGAAAAATAAACTTTCTGATATTTTTTTCAATTTCTTAACATTCACTTATCTACTACGGCCTATTCAATTAACTTATGGACTATTTTAATGATTGACGTCCTAAAGCATCTTATTACACATGTTAAAATGCAATAATAGTAATAATAACACACACAAAATAAAAATAAATACATTTAGTAGCCTAAAAATCAGCAATTTTCAATAAAAACATTAAAAGTTGAATATCTCGAAAAGGGTTAAGTTTAGGGTAGGGTGTTTCATAATGAAATAAGTCAGAAATGATGGGTACTACACGCCCTTAACGGATCTAGCACGACTTTTCCTGTAACCCTGTATAACCTAAATCTCAATACATCAGTATAAATAGAGAAACAAGATAATGTAATTTCTCAGAAACTATGAGCCCAAAACAGCCTCGGCAAAATTAGACTTTTTTATCAAAGGGCGTTGATAGAAATTGGCAAATGTCTTTGATTTGTCAGTCCATCCTGCTGCTAACCTAATTACATCCATACTAACTCCCTTGCAAGCCGCGGCAGATGTGGCTGCATGTCGTGTACTATGGGCAGTAAATATGGATGTATCAAGGCCGCTATTTTTAAGAACTACTTTTATCCATCTACTGATTGAGCTAGATTTTGCATTTTTAAAAGGCTTCTTAAAGGTAATAAATAATAAGTTGCAGTGGGTGTCTCTTAATTTCACCGTTTCTTTTAAATATTGAATTAAGCACTTGGCTACACATAATGAAGGATCTGTCTTGTAAAAGGGCAGAACTAGAGTTGGCTGCAATCTATTTACACCAGAAGTTTTAAGTCGCTTAGGAATCTTGATGGTGATGCCATCCTCAGTTATCACTATATTGGAGATTTCAATACTAGCCAGCGTTTGTACCCGTTGTCCTGTACTGAGAGCCAAAAGCGCTGCTAATTTATAAGTTAATTGTTGTAAGGAAATGTCCTTCGGAAAAGTTTTTATGTAGTTAAGGACGATACAGGGGTCCCAGGTTGTATTGTACTTGGCCTCATTGGGTCGCAAATTAAAAATCCCTTTGAAAAATCTTTTAAGCCTAAAGTCATTTGCAAAACCTGACCCTGCTATCTGACCTATTGCACCTTTATATGAATTTAAGGTGCCATAAGAAGCAGCTTCATTAAAATACAATGTTAGGAATTTTAAAACATCTGGTATAGATACTGAAAACACATTCTTATTTTCTTCTTTACAAAATTCCCACAAAAGTCTCAATCCGGAATTATATTGTTTAATCGTTCCATTGGTAATGGAAGCCATACAAATATCCAGTGATGCTTTAGGTATGCCGCCTAACTGCAATGCTTGCCGGATAAGACTCCTGCTACCAATGTAATTTTCTTCCATAGTGGATGAGGAGTCTTATCAAAAGAGAGAAGTAAAACTTGAGTTGGGTTGAAATAAATTAATTTACTAACAAGCAATGAGTTAAAAACGGGAAACCAGGGCTGAGAGGTTCAATTGGGAACAACAAAGATGCCTGTTGCTTTATCCTCGATGATCTTGTGCAAACACTGTAATATGATTGCAAATGGCGGAAATGCATAAACATAAAAGGTGGACCAGTTAATGGTGAATGCATCAACTGCATAACATTCTGGATCTCTCAGCCAAGATATAAAACGTTTGAATTTTTTATTAACTCGTGAGGCAAATAAGTCAATTTGGGGCCTATTGAATTCACGCGTTATCTTTTGAAAGGCCCTATCACTTAATTCCCACTCAGTCTGAGTTTCCAACTGCCTAGACTCCTTGTCGGCCACTTTATTATCCTCAGATTTAATATAAGATGCATACACAAAAATATTCCTATTTTCGCACCATTGCCATAATTTCCTTGCTAAAGAGTTAAGTCTAGGATAACGAACAGAACCCCTTCTATTGATACAGGCAATTGCTGTAGTGTTATTTATCCGGCATAAAATATTACAGTCGGAAGTATTATTAGCAAAGCATTTTATAGCAAAAAGGGCAGCAAGGAGTTCGAGATAGTTTATGTGCTCCCGAATTTCCACACTGCTCCAGAAACCATGAGCCGTTTTTCCCTCACAGCAACTGCCCCAACCAGTTGTAGATGCATCAAAAAAAATGGTCAATTTAAAGTCTCTTGAGGGTAAATGATTATAAGAATTAGTAACATTTTTAAGCCACCAAAGGAAATCTTCAGATAATTCAGAGGGAATGTCCATTGTAGAGTTAAAGTTTCCCTCTGATTTAATGAGGGCATTTGTCTTAATTCTTTCAAAATTTTTTGTGTATAACCATCCATACTTTACTGCCGGGCAAGCTGAGGTCAAAGCACTAATAAAATGAGCAAATTCCCGAATCCTGCATATTTTACGCTCTAAAAATTTTTTACCAAGCTTCATGATTTTTTGTTTTTTATATTCGGTCAGGCAGATGGTAATATTTATTGAATTATAAGTAAACCCTAAAAAGGTGCAAATCTGCTGAGGGCTAGTTGTACTTTTAGAAAAATTTATAATAAACCCCAATTTTTCCAATAACTGGATGGTTTCCTGTAAATTGCATCCACATTCTAAATTTGTGTTTCCAAACAATAGAAAATCATCAAGATACAGTACAGAGGTTAATCCTTTCTTCCGTAAAAAACCTAAAATGGGTTTCATTAATTTAGTAAAAGTTAGTGGAGCACAGTTCAACCCAAATGGCATACAGGTAAATTCATACAGTGAATTCATAAACTGAAACCGTAAATATTTCCTATGTGCCTTATTAACAGACAATAAAAAATATGCATCCTTTAGATCCAATGTCGCCATCCAACAATTTTTATTTATCAACTTGATAACAGTTTTATGGTCTTCTATTTTGAAATGACGAGCATTTATATATTTGTTAAGATGCTTGAGATTTAATATGACTCTTTTTGAGCCGTCTGCTTTTGGGGTAAGAAATATTCTAGATATAAACTGCCCTCTGGTTATAGCGCCTTTCTCAAGAAGGTCATGTAATGAATCTTGGATTTGCTTCTGCTCACGTAAGGACCATTTAGGTTCATGCGGAGCACTAAACTGCCATGGTGGTCATGCAAAAGGTATTTTAATACCTTGAATCCAAGATAAAACACATTTGTTTTTGGTTAACTGCGACCAAGCTTGATGAAAATGCCTGAGCCTACCAGCAATTTTACCCACCTGAGAATCTACTGACGGTGTCTCGTCCACTCTTTTTGCTTCTTCTGCTTGAAATACCCTCTGTCCCGGCTTTTGTGATCTCGTCGAGGCTGCTGATATTGCTGGCGTCCGCCTAGTCGCAGCCCTTGGATTTTTCGAGGCGAACTTTTGGGGTTTAAAGGACGATTAGGATATGAACTGGAAGATGCCCTGGTATATGGCAATCTTTTTTCCTTTAAATCTTTACTGGATTGAGCAAGGTTCTTGTGGAATCTAACCCTGTCTTCTAGGTCTTTCCCAAAAAGCCATTCATCATTTGGCGCATTAAGTAAAGTGTCCTTCAGACCTTTGTTGAGGTTCAGTGCTGCTAGCTCTCTACGCGAGAGTGTCTCCTGATGAAATAAATCAGTTAGCAGCCTCCCAGCTTCGCCCAGTTGTTGAATAGCTCCTACATCCCGCTCCTTCTTCCTTTTCAAAAGGTTAGTAACCGCCAAACCAATAGCCGATATGGCTGCGCTAATCTGCGCCTGAATGTCACACAACCTCTTGTCTGTTCGAATTATTGAATCAGAAGAGGCAGTGATCACCAAGGGATTCAGTTTAGGGGGAGCTAAGGAAATGCAATTCTCTGGGTGAGGAAATTTCCTCAGTAATTCTTGTCTTTTGTCGTCACCAAGTCCCTTGTTTAAAATTCCGGTCCAAATTTCTGAGAGGTCCTTTTGGATTGGCGAACTCAGGTTTGACGACTGAACAACATTTTTCCCAAAAAGGGATAATACCGCTTGATCAAGGCTGGCTTCACTCTCACAATCAGAGTTATTATCGCCACTGACCCCTGATGTCTGGTCACTAATAAAGTCTTCATCCTGAGTCTGAGGGGTAAAGGCGACGTCTTCGCGCCTATATGGGCTAACCGAGCGGGCAACAGACTGCCGCCTTAAAATGTGAGCCAATGATGCAAGCGAGGCTTCCTCCTCGGAATCTACCTTTGAATAATTTCCATCATTATTTTGTTGACTCGGAGAGTCGTTAAAATTCGACGATTGACACGGAACATCCTCCTCGTGTTCTCGCGATTTAGAGCTCGTACGACTCGTAACAGGCCGACGACCAGAACTATTACACCCAAAACATGTTTGAGATTTGGCAACATCATCGTGCCTTTGTCTAACAGCAGGTTCGGCAACATCATCGTGCCTTTGTCTAACAGCAGGTTTGGCAACATCGTCGTGCCGTTGTCCAGCATCAGGTTTGGCAACATCCTCGTGCCTCCGCCGATACAGCTCCGCAGATTTGGCAACCTCGCCGGTGATTTCATCATGCTGGCGGAACCGCTTGGTGCCATCTTTTTTAATCTGCGTAGCTTCTAAATCTGCCAATTTTCTCCGTAACACACTTACCTTTTCGTCTACACTATCCACCACTTCCTCACTGCACTTCCTCTTACGGTTCTTCACCACTTTCGGCATTTTAATAGTATTAACCGACCACGCACAACAATCACTATTTGCATACACCGGTCGCGCGATACGTATGGTTCAACACGCAATGAAAGAATGACCAAGTTCGCCGGGGTCGGGGATCAGCGGCGTGCAGGGAATCGAAAAATCGATATCTTCAAAATGCGTGTGGTTGGATAGTAAGTGGAAGTTACTACAATTCTTAATTATGAGACGAGGCGGAATATAATACTAAATTATATCTGAATATTACATTTTTTTTCGATTGCAAAAAATATCTGCGGCCGCCGGTATGGTACGCGGCAACACCTACGAGCCCCTTCCTTCAGTTGGCCCAACTATTGAAATCTGAGTTTTTTTGTTATCAAACACAAATAATAAAAATGTAGCAGGGTGTTATAGGATTAAAATATTAACAATGAATATTTTGATAATATATAGTAGAAAACACCAACTATATCACTCCCTAATCAAATTTGCAGCATAAAAATAACACATTGTGCAATTACAGCATATCAACCTATTTTCATTTCAATGCAAAATAAGTCCATAACGCATAGGTGGCTGTGAAAAATAAAAGCCATGACAATTGTTTTTATTAATCACAGCTGTCAGAATACGTTTAAAATAGTTTTGGGTAGTTAATGTTTTCAAAATGGGTAGAGGAAAGGTTATTCGTGAGAAAATTCGGTTACTGATAATTCAATTATTTAATTCTGGGAAATCAAACTCAGAAATTGCAACTTTGTTAGACTTGTCGTGGTACAGTGTGAGAAATTTTGTTAGAAGATATAACGTAACTGGTTCACTTAATATTAAGCCACGATATGTGAAAAAAAGCAATATCACAAATGCCGACCGAAGAGCATTAAGAAGAATAATCGTGAAAAACAGGCGTGCCAATTATTTACAATTAAGTGCTCTGTGGAGTGACGCTGTTGGAAGGAGAATTTCGAGGTCCGCAACTCATAGAGAGCCCCACAAACTGGGATTTAGCACTTGCAAGCTAAGTTTTCTTATTAAAAAAAGTGAAGTAAAAACCCTAAAGTTGCACAACTTGTTTATAGGCCAAAGAAAAGCCACTATTAACTCCACTGCAAAAGAAAAATTGGCTTAGATGGGCTAAAGAACATAGACAATGGACACCTCAACAATGGTGTGCAATACAATGGAGTGATGTCGAAGTTTGTGTTGGTGACAGTCGCAGTAGAGTTATTCGCAAAAAAAATTAAGCATTCCATGTTGACTGTCTGAAGAGAAAAGTGAAATTTCCAGCATCCATTATGGTCTGGGGCAGAATGTCATCAAAAGGAGTAGGAAAACTTCATTTTATTGATGGAAATGTGGATACACACAAATGCTTGGCAATTCTAGAAGAATCGCTTTTACCAGTGATGGAAGAATGTTTGACATCCGGCCAAGATTTTGTATTTCAGCAAGATGGTGCAGCGTGCCATATCTCAAAAAAGGCTATAAAATGGATGGAAGAAAATAATGTACCACTTTTGAAATGGGTTTCTATCAGTCCAGATCTGTCACCTATTGAAACTTTGTGGCACGAGATGAAAAAGGTTCTACGACAACATCCTGCTCGTACAATCACACAACTGAGACAAAAGCTTCAAGAAATATGGGATTGTTTTACACCAAATTTTTGCCAAAACTTGGTTAACACTATGCCCCAATGAATTTCAGCCGTAATAAAAAATTCAATTCAATTCAATTGTTGCTTTGTTAACTTCGCGCATTGATTTGCACATTGTTTATTTGTTCAGATGTTCTATTAGTTATAGGACTAAGTGATTTCAAATATGTATTTTTTATGACTAGAGTGTATCTAAAATGTTTTTGAAAAATAAATTGTTTTAGAAGTAAACAGTTTCGTCATGTTTAGTTTATAAAGGCATATTTTGGCACAAATCTTGAAGTGGGCCAACTGAAGTGGGAATGGGCTCGTACTACTGGGAGAATGTACGTGCGATTTTCTCTGTCGAAATAGCAGTCGTTTTTGACACTGTCAGTAGAGTTCGTAGGTTAAGTATTTCAAGTTCAAATTATGGCCTCATCTCAAAAATCATCCAAAACCTTGAAATTGATAGTATTTGACCTCGACTTCACATTGTGGCCCTACTGGGCAGACTGCCATATCCAGAGTCCCTACAGAATCGCCTCGAACGAGAAAATAATAGATAGTGCCGGAAACATTGTTGAGTGCTATCCAGACGTTCCAGAAGTACTGGCAGACCTCCACAAAAAAGGTTACATTCTTGGTGTTGCATCCAGGTGCCCAGACAGAGAAGGATGCAGGCAACTATTGAATCTCTTCGGTTTCAACAAGTATCTGAAGTACATAGAGATACACGACTGCCACAAGTTCCAACACTTTGAGAAGATTAAAAAATCGTCTGGCGTGGATTTTTCGGAAATGATGTTTTTTGACGATGATAAAAACAACATACGTGACATAAGTAGCATGGGGGTGGTTTCAATATTGGTTCGGGAAGGAATTACAAAGCAAGTTGTGGATGATGGTATAAGGCAATTTCATAAAAGATGTAGTGTCCAGTAAAGTGTTCTGTGCACATTTTTATAAAATTATATACACATACTTCAAAAATCACGGCTAAATTACAAAACGTATATTTCAACGAGTGCGCAATTCCATGAGAAGGAGGGCGGAAGCATGCATACTAAGTGAAGGGGGCCATTTTCAACAATTTTTGTAATCATTTCGTTGGTTTTAACGTTATGTTTATGTTGTCAGTTGTTGTTGTTCATTACTCCTAATGTGTTTAATTTTGCGAATTGGATTAATAACAATTTTGCAAGTTAGACAATAGAACGGTTTTTATTTTTTTACTCAAAAATGGCGCATCGAAGGAAAACAATTCGAGTCAGATTATTTGTTTTAAATTGAACGGGAAATTCCAACATAATTTCTTTTGGCAAAGCTACAGCTGTCGTGACGAAGTAATAGTTCACCTAAATTTTGGCAATTTCGTCGAGAACGTGTTGAGGTTGAGTACTTTGTACCGTTCATAGGGGGGGGGAGGGGCCTCCCAGTCCCGTTATATGCGCCAGTGTTATGGTATTGAACAAAGCCTTTTCCATTTTAGATGAAATGTCGGTAGTGCTCCTGGGAATCCCAATGATTCCTTCTAGGGTCGATCAAAAGAACAGAAAGTTGGCCTTGCTATGGCGCAAGGAGCTTTATTAGGAACATCCACGAACTACAAAAATGTTTATACTTTTTAGTTGAGGGGGAAAGTCAAGTGTATTGTAGCGGTTTTTTAATTGTACCACCTTAATATTTGTTGAATTGTAGATTTCTAAAGCCATCTGAAATATTGTGGCCTTACAAGGAAAGAACCCATAAGATGGCCATAGTGAGTGCTTATTCAATATTTATATAATACCCACTAAAATTATTTTCACGAACGCACTTACCTTTTTTGACCACTGCACTGTGGGTATTGGATTACCATTTGCCTTACACTCAAAAGATACTTGACCTCCTTTTCTTGTGACTACTTCACCTGTTGGGGGCAATATTTGTAAGCTGGGTGGCACTGAAACAAAGAAAGGCACTTTAAGAACATGTAATTAATACATAAATGTTCTTTAAAATCTATTACACAGCCCAGCAAACTGATTTTAATTACCGCTGAAATGGATATTTTAAAGTTATTTCCAGGGATAAAAGGTAACCTGTGTGCTATATCAGACAATGAACTGTCTCTGTATCAATTTTTTCAGACATTTGGACTTAACTGAGCAACAAACATCCACATTTCCTTATTTATAATATCAGTAAGGATAGTGATTTGTAAGCATACATTTGACATTTGTTTCATTCATAAGCTTTGAGCGTGAAAAGTGAAAAACTAAACAACGAAAAAGTACTGAAAGTAACACAAAATGCTTGTAAAAGGCATAGATTACATGCGCTTATTTGTGTTACATAACCCATGAGAGGAAACACTGATAAAGTACTCGTACATCAGTATTCTGGTCGAATACTTGAGTATACACGCGCCATAGGTAAATATTGCCGCATTTCAAAAAATTCTGGATAGCCAATTAACCAAATTGTTCGATAACATTTTTAAAGCCTCCATATTGGATCTGCGTACATGTAGGTGCATACGTGCCTGTCATGGTAACTAACGTCCTGTCGGTAATACGTTATTTAGCTCTGCCCGCCCACTATGTTTTCGAACGAGCTACAATTCTTTACTGTCGTCGAGGGCCAGATACAACAGGAAGGACTCCGAATGTTTCAATTTATAGTCTAACTAGAGGCAACTTAATAAACTACATCAATAAAAACAAAATTAAAAATCAATCAAAATTTATTTGTCTTACATACGTTACAGAGTTATTTTATGTCCACATTATGCCCGACTGCTTCTTCGCTTGAGTCAGTTTTCAACAGGCTCTCCGAAAGAGGGTAACAATTTATTTGTATCATACACCTGGCAGGAGCGATTTCATTGTACAACTGTAAAAGTTTTGCAATACAGCCTTATTTATTGACTTCGTTCAAAACAATTAAGTCCTTAAGCCAGCTCTGCCAAGTTTCACCCGCAGCACTCTCGTTGTCCCAAGAAGGTCCGCATCGTTAGAAAACCGTTTTCCTTTTAGCTTCATTTGCACATGCAGAAAAGTGCAATGACGCAGGGAGCAAGATCTGGACTGTAAGGAGGGTGCTCAATAAGTTTCAGTCCAGTAGTGGCCAAATATTCTGTGTAGGCGGTGAGCTAGAGCGATGTCATGGTGGAGGTACCAAGTCCTTTGGCCGCAGATTTTTCATAGACTCTAGGCAGGCACTGTTCCGTGTATCACTTAGCTGTGACTGTCTTCTGTGTGTCCAAATCGACAAGCTCCACAATCCAGCTCGATTTCAAAAATACAGCTATCATTTTTTTCTTTACAGATCAGAATTTTCTGACAGCTACGGGTGTACTCATCATCAAAGACCCTAACTTTGTTTTGAGCCTTGTTCAGCACATCGTAATAACAGAGCCAAGTCTCGTCACTTGTCACGATGCCGTTCACATACCGAGATTGCCCCTTATCAAACATTTTCAGCATTTTTCGGTACCAAGTCATACAACGAGTCTTCTGCTCTTCCGTCAGACTATGCGTTACCCAGAGAGAACAAAGTTTCATTACGTATAAATGGTCATGTAGAATTGAACTAATTGCTGGTGTATGAAGATGCAAGGTATCCTCTATCCCTTTGGAATTCTCTGTACCACCCGAATATAGTCTTACGATGAGGACACAAGCATTTTCTAATACAAGCGTCATTTCTTCTAAGCACTGGTCTATGCTTAAACCACGTGTAGAGTTACGTGACCACGCTGCTGTAGTCCGTAGTCAATACGAATGAACAACTAAATCAACAGACGTGCTGCTGGCGGCTACTATGCACGCATGGACATGTGTTAACATGCTGTGACATGCCTCCAGAATGGTCGTGAAGCAGCTACCATGACACCTGCCCCGCCCGCCTGGCTTTGTAAGTCCTTCTTTTGCGAATCATACCTTCAGTCCTTGTGAAGAGTTGCAAGACATTGTGTTCTCCCCTTTGATAGGGGTAGCTAAGTGGACAGATAAGTCTGTAATTGGTTGATCCTGTAGCTTCACTAGCATTTTCTGTTGCAAATTTGCTACCCTGAGCCGAGCATTTCCAAAAGTTCCTTAGATGGAAGGCAACGCGGAAAGCTCCCCGCACCCTTGCAAAGCTTTCTTCAAGCAAACCTTGAATAAACTCAACCCGGTTAGTCTTATCCTTGGTAGAAGTTGAACAGTTCCATAACCGAAAATGGGAACGATGCACGCGTCAATTACTCGCACCTTCACATCAGTGTCGCCATTTGGAGTCCAATAGAATACTTTAGCTTTAAATAGGCAAGCGTTGATGTAATATTGCTGATACCCTCTTTTCAAGCTGCTTCTTTATTAAGTTTCTTATTTCTCCCCATATTGACACCGTCTCATTCTCGATTTTAGTAACAGTTCGATGATTCGTCCCTAGTCCCCACTTATTGCAATAGTCTATAAATTCGCACACGTAGTGTGTAGTTTTTGGGAGGTTCTTCATATATAAGTTCCGGACCCAAAATTGATCCTTGTGGCACATCCATTCACTAACTCCCGTGAACTGGATAAGACATTCAAAAGTTTTTCGACCACTGGAGTAGTTTTCACAAGGTGGATGACAGAGACTGGGATATCGTATACATTAATGTCTTATGGAGTATGCTGTCGAAGGCTTCAATAAGGTTAGTTGACAGTTTCGCGACGCGTTTTTTATTGGCTGACGCCTCGCACGCATATGCAAACAGAATCTTATTTAACAATATTCCATCTGTTTAGATCATTGGGTCATGCACATTTTTTTATACTCGAACCACTACGAAGGCCTAAGGGATTCGAACCCGAGCAGCGCACGGCTGCTTCCTGGAGCGATTGTACACAGCAGAATTCATGCACCTGCTGCATGGAATGACCGGCACGGATATTATATAAAAAACATATAAAACGTCAAAAAGAGCCTGTGAGATGTTCTTGCAGACTAGGTAGTTTTTAGAGTGCAAATAGCCATTCCACGTTTGCTCACTAGGATCGTTATGGCGTTCATCTATGGAGGAATGGCTCAACTATACATATACACGCATAATTGGTTGCATAGGTATGTTTTGTGAAGCCGAGTGGGCTATAGCTTTCATATCTGAGTCTCTGAGAAGAAAGTTGGTTAGGTATTTGGTTGAATAGCAAGATCGCATCTGGATGATTGTGTATATTGGTCTGCATATGTATGAAATCAGTGATATATGTTGTGTGAGAAAATCATTACTGAATATGCTGCCAATGGAGTGTATTTATTAGCTGTGCCTGACGAGTTATTTATATGTTGTCCTTTCGGAAGACAGGTTATGTTCAAAGTTATTAATTACGTTTGTTTGATTTTCCAAAAACTTTGAGGAGAATTACGGGAAATCACCGGCGCACCCGCGTTCTGTGTAATTACTGTTAGCATTCATACGACTTGCAATTCGACAGTGTACAGTGAATATAATTATTTGTTATCTCTCTCATTTTTAAATTTCAGCAAATTTGCATATGTAATTTCCAGCATGGATAAGAAAAAGTAGACGCGCAACTAATTTCTAGCTTTGAAGTGTATTTGGAACAAGAAATCAATGGAATTACCATCAATACATATTATTACCACACAAATCCTCACTATGCCGTTTCTTCCAGTAATGCCATCTCTGAAGCAGATTTTGCATCACATCATAGCCAAACATTGATAACTGAAGCCTCATGACGTTTACGCAACACGTACAACTACAAAACGAGTTTACGAAAGTGTCCATCAGCTAGTGCTAAGTTAACATCTTGTCGATATAACGGCACTTTTCAAGATACGTAATACCCGTGTCGAGCAGAATTATTTCGCTGAGAGTCCTCGCACAGGGGGTTTGATTCTAAATGAGTTTCAACGGTTGAAATTGATTTCGATAGCGCCTTGTGACGATATACTTGATTAACTACGATAATTTTGATACTGGCATGATAATTTGAATATAGAAGATCAGTATAATCAGATGTCAAAATTATCATAGCGAATCAAGTATATCGTCACAAGGCGCCATCGAAATCAATGTCTACGGT